AATACAACTCCCATATATGGCCCTCGTGAAAGTTTCTTGTCGAGACATAAAAGACAGAAAAAGGAAGATGGTAAATACACTGTAACTGTGCTTATAGACATATATGCTATAAGACAAAAACACATATCTATGTTAAATCATCAAATTGCTAATGACGTTTGCACCTTCTAACATCTTGTGCAATATCTGTCCGTTTTCTTTAAGCAATCGTTGTAACACGACTACCTCCAACTTTTACTTTAAAATCGTTCTTTGCAAACTCATCTTATTCTTGGTCCGTAGAGCGGGTTATGACGCTTCTTGAGGAGCTTGGGAGATATATAATACTTTTTACAGTAGCTTTTATCAAACAAAAGATGCAAGTTCAGAGAATTCTAGTTCAGAGAAATAGTATATACAGAATTGCCAGAAAAAGTATAGTGCTAAACAAATTTCTCAAGAAATAAATCTAACTCTTAAAAATGACATCTCAAGACAGACAATAAATAGAAGATTAATTGATCGTAAATTATGCTTGTATACTGCTGCTAAAAAAACAATGCTTAAACGATCAGTTTGGCTCAAACGGCTTCAATTTTGCAAAAAAAATTTTAAGATGAGTGATAATGATATTTAAAAAAATAGTATTTAGCGATGAATCAAATCATACAAAACTTTAAAAGAGTTATATAATGGTTTATCCTTTAAATATTGCCGAAATCTTTTTGAATCTAATAAAAGAATATGTAGACTTTGAAAAGATAACAAAAGCGGTCACATACCATATTAACTTGGCTTACAGTTTAAAGTAAAAAATAATGATTTTAAACTTATGATCAAGATATTCGTAGATATCTTTTTACATAATTTTGTTATTTTCAAAATAAAATACTTTTAACTGTTTTTTGTTTTGTTTTTTTTTTCTTGTCTTTTGTATATATTAAAAAGAATTTCATAAATAATAAAGCCTTTAACAAAAAAAATTCAAGTAATAAAAATAAAGGCATTTTTTTAAATCACAAATCACTTAGAAACTGTAATTTTTATTCTAATTCTACAGTGGGTGGCCATTGAAATAGGGCCATTGAGTTTTCTACACATTTTTGTGAAATTTTATTTATCTCTGTAGCATGCTGTCAATGCATTTCTGTGCCAATTCTTTTATGTGAGGATTTCGATGCCAACCTTCATTTAGTTTTTCAATATGCTGGGTTTTATTTTTCACCAGTTGTTTTGAAGAAACCTCCCGTTTTAATAGCTCCCACAGGTTTTCTATGGGATTAAGATCCGGGGAATTTCCTGGCCAATCCAGCAGTGGAATTTTTTTCTCTCCAAGAAACTTTTTAATGGATTTTGCCGTATGGCATGTGGCAGAATCTTGCATAAATATAAATTTGCCATCTGGAAACCATTCCGAGACTTGAGGAATGAGCTTTAGCTCTAAAACTTCTTTGTATTGGCCTTGCCTCATTGTCCCTTGCACTATGTAAAGCCTTCCCGTACCCTTACCACATATAACAGACCACATCATAATTGACAATGGATGTTTTACTGTCTCGATAATGCAGTTTTTTTCACTCACCCTTCGTTGCACAAATGAGGCTTTGTCGTCCAAGGTCTGAAACATGGGTTCATCAGAAAAGCACACCTGAAAACAAATGTTTTAAAAAATGTTAGTCTTTCATTAATCTAAAGAAAATCGAGAAATGGCAGGCGTTAATATTGATTTTTTTGCAGGACGTAACAACTTTTAAGTAACACTTAAAGCCTAACTCATCTAAGCGTCTCCTGACTGTGCGATCACGAATATTAATTCCAGCATCTTTAATCAATGTTGTAATTATTTTTCTGGGTTTCTTTCTATTCTCCAAGCAAATATTCCTGATAATTCTCGTTTTCCTTTACAGTTTTTACGGAGTGTGGATTTAGGGTTTTCGCCATTTTTTATTTTTGATGCTATTCTTTACACGGTCTGCCTAGAAACGCCAATTCTTCTTGAAATTTCTCGTTGAGAATAGTTGGTGTTCCTTAAAAGTGACATTATTTCACTTTTTTTACAAACATTCACATCTTTTTTTTACCCATTCTCAGAAACTTTAAAAAATCTAAAAGACAAATAAACACACTACAAAAATATGTAAAAGAAAATTAAAAAAGTTGAAATAATGTATATTTTTGGAAAACCTACTTTCAAAGAAATCTTTGACTAAGTAAAACACTTAAAAAATTAAAATTTTGAAAAATAGTCAGTTAAAAATAACGTTTGAAGAAAGATCCTTAACACACACACAACAAGCTTCGGCAATCTACAAATGGTAACTGAACACAATTTCACGGTTTTACTTGTCAAAACATGCAAAATACAGTGTTGCTAGCAACAAAATAGTGTTGCCTACACAATAATTTGTAATAATGTCGTAAATAATTAAGAAAAATTGTGAACTTTACGTTTGAAAGGTGAATTAATGCTGACAATATAACAAAAAACGTGATGGCCCAATTTTAATGGCCACCCACTGTAAATTTTTGATTACTATTGTATATTCAGTTGTTGTAGAATGTTCTGCGAATTTATTTCCACATCAGAAAAAAAATTTATGTCGGGAAACAATTTTATGCGTAAGCCGCGTAATATTATTTCCTTAGTAACCGAAACTTGCGCCACGGAAATAAATTTATGGGGGAAATAAATTTGTACGACACCGGTGCGAGAAGGTGTCACGTCGGGGTTGCCAATATAACTTTTGCCGACTAAAAAAAAAAAAGTTTTTTTCCTCGTTTTTTAAAATTTGCCGACTGTCTTATCGACATTTTGCGAAGTTAGAATTATTTAGATAGAACAAAATATTTCTAACCTCGCGATTTGCCGACTGACTCTCTGGGTTTACCGACTAACTTATTGAAAGGGACTATATTTGCCAGCTGACTAGTCAAAATAGGTTAAATTTGAAAATCTTATAACATGCACAACTCCATTACGCTGGCCTTGATACAAGGGGAATTGGGATATTGGCGAAAAGCGGGAATGCGAATTAAAGACTTACAAAATTGATCATATTCATTGCTTATCAATTAGTTTAACTATTCAGTCACAAAACTTCAAAAGCAATTTTTATAAATCTTATTATAAAATAAAAATTTATGGCAAAAATAAAACCATTTGAATTACCCTACGTACGTGGGGTAATTGTAAACACATCGGGGGCAATCACAAACACTGTTGTGTAAAAACGAATAAACTGCTTATTGTAATAACTAAGCCTAAAAATTGTATTATGCAACAACAACAAAAAAATACACTACTGCATGTCTGAAACTGAGCATGGGATCCCTTCTCAGCAGGGAAAAAGATTTTGTCAAACCTATTTTTTTAAAACACTATTTTGACCATGCTCGGAGCCATTACCCCACTCTCCCCTACTTAATAAAAGACAAATAAAGCTTACGGAAGGTAACTTTTACTGAAGGTAACTTTTTTTCTTCGGGATCATTTAGTAATGACATAAAGCTTTGACTAGATTTCCTCGCTGTTGTATCTCTCTCAAAACATTCTAGTCATTTTTCAAATTTTTAAATTTAATATTAATATTAACATATTTTAACTAAAAATTATCTTTATCAAGAAAGATGTTTAATACTTTATTATTACTAATTAAATAAAACGAGAAAATACCGATATTCAGCAATATTTCCTAACATTTTTCCTAACTTTTAACTTTTGTTTGATTTAGTAGCTAAATATTGTTTTAGAACGAAACTCGGTTTATCCTACAAAGAAAAAATAGACAAGTTTGCGGAGTCCATGCTTCACTTAAAAGTGTATGTCTATGATGTATTCGCAATGAAGATTTCACTTTGATGAAAGTTTCATATAATCAGGTTCCATCTCATGGAACCTCGATAGGCAGAAAATCCCGCATCGGTATTACATCAGAACAAACATGTGCATAAAAACTTAAACAAGACACTGAAAAGGTTCGTTGCGTCTAAAAAAACGGTGAAAAACTTAGAGCTATGGTTGTTGAATATGGTTCAACTAGATTATAAGAAGATTATTTAAGTATATATTTAAATTGAAAAAATAAATCTTTTTCGTAATATATACTTAGTAAAATTTCGTAATATATAATTAGTTAAATACTGTTTGTGGCATTTCATTTGTTTGAACTTGTTATCGGAGATTTATTCATGTTTTGTGTGTAGAGGATTTTTGACAAGAAGATAATTGCAACTATTATTTTGCTAATATTCATCGAAATAATATTTCTTTGATGAAAATTACGGCATTCAGATTGCAAGGGCAGGAATACCTTTGAAAAACGCCCTCTGCTTCCCATTGGTTGAGGGAAAATAATTTTTGAAAGAAAAAAAAAAAATTCTTGAATCCCATCATAAATTATAATTAGGTGTCAAATTTTATCAAAATTTATTTTGACGCTCAAAAGATGCAGCCATAAAGTGTAGGACCCCCTCATTTTTTGAAGGTTTTAAGTATATAGAAAAATGGCAAAAAAATGAAAAAAAATGCAGTTTTTATTTCGTTTTCAACAGTTTCATTTCATGTTAACCTACTTGAAAGAGTGGTTAAAAAAAATCTGAAGTAAAAATAACTTCAACTTAAAACCTCTAAATATGAGTAGTATCCACTGATCTCAAAATAATAATTATTATTTTGAGATCAGTGGTAGTATCTTGCATTTGCCGTTTTTACCGTAAAATTTTACGGCAAAACGTAACCCTTATTGTAAACGATATTACATGTGACTTAAATGTGTGGAGTTTGGGAAGTCAGACAAGAAGACTTTGGCTACAAAAAAACTTCTTTTATTAAAAATACAAAGTTAAATAAAATGTCTGAATAAAAAGAAATGTATTTCCTACTCTAAACTTTTTATTAATTATAACGCTACAGTAAAAATCTAATTTGAACTAAAATTAAGTTTTTTCAAAATCCTCAATCCTCAATCCGTTATATTTAATTGTTTTTTTCTTACATCAGAGTAAACCCGCGGTTACATATACTAACATTGTAGCATAAATAAAATTATACATACAAAACTCGTATTCAGTCGCAATAATATGAGACATTTCGAATAGAAAACTTTTTTGAAGAATGGAGGTATTTAATAACACTCAAAAACTTCTTTCTAGCCTCCTTTCTTCAAAAATTAACACATCTTTCGTATTAACGCTAGAAAATGCAAATTCTGTACATATGATTTTATTTGGGTTGCAATATCCAGAACCAAAAAGTGATAATTTCCTAATAAGTTTCTTGAATTTACCCGGAATTTACAATGAGATTTTTCAACATAAATCGCAGCAGAAGTGTAACATGAGAAGTAACATGAGAAGGCTCACAATAAATGGGTGTGTGGTATTGTTTAAACATCTAATAATAACTGTGATTGTGTAATAGACCTCTCCTTTAAGATTTTATCTTTTCCATTTGGCATCAAATGAAAGATGGGTTAACAAGTGTGCTTGCTTTTAATATAGAAACATTGAGAATTTTTGATAGTTGTAAGTTTTATATAAACAGTTTAAATATTTAAATTTATTTACTTGTTGATAATACTATTATAACATTAAAATAAAACAAACCATTTTTATAACAGAAATTATAACTCTATATACCCTAAATAATATTGAAATATTACAAATAAACCTTAATATAAATATACATAAAGTAAAGAAGGGCTTTAAGGCCACTTTTTCATTTACTTTCAGTTTTTCCTGTTAAAATAAACTAATAATCTAAAATTTAAGATTGTTTTTTTCAAGTGATAGATATTTTATTGTATTATATTAAACACTTTTTTCTTAAAAACAAAAGTTTTATATAGTGTCAAGCCTAGTTGAAAAATACAAATAAATAAATCATTAAATATTCACAAAGGAAGGCAGTAAGAACAAGTATATTAAAAATGTTTATTTTCAGCAAGACTTATTACAATTGTCAACTTTCTGTTTGATAACTTGTTATCTGTTAATGTTTCTTTTTGTAAGAAAGTGCATTTGACTATTTATACAATGTCAAATATGATATGACATCCACAGTTTTATTTTTTACTTTGTATAAAAACTATATACTTAAAAAGTATGTAGTTTTAATTATTAATTATAAATCATTTAGAAATAAGTTAGTGATAAAAAATAAATTTCTGTAAAATAAAATACAGTTTTTGAAAAATTTAAAAGTTGATAATAATGCCCTGATTTTGTTACTCTCTTTTACTAAATTATTCACATATATATATAAGCCTTAAACTTTATACTTACATGTCTAAGGTTTAAGGCTTATTGCTGAATTTGACTTTAAAATAGATTGTTAAAAAAGTTAATGTTTTATTTGATCTTAATATTCAAAAATCACCAATAATATATGTTAGAATATAAAAAAAAAGTTTTATTCAAAATGTTTTATATTACTAAGCCAAAAGTTTCTGTTATTTAATCACCTTATGCAGTTTACCTTTGTGATTTCTGGTTTTATTTATTTAAAAGCTTGAAAAGTATCAACATGGTTTAACTCAAATAAACTCTTTTTTCTAATCTTCTCGTAACATGCATTTAACATTCAGCACTGTTCCACACAAACAAATGTTTATCTAACTAAAGTCCTATTATTTAAACACTAGTATTATGTGTTAATTAAAACTACTTCTGTTAAATTGAAAACAGTGTGTGGTTTTTTGTTTAACTTTATCAGTATCACAAGTAGAATAGCTCAAAGGTCTTTATTAAACTTCAATCATGATACAATTGTGAGAATGATATAACATGGGGTTATTAAAAAAGAGTTTGCAGGTTCTCATACCTGCAAACTCTTTTTTAACTTAAAATTATACATATTAAATATATGCATACCATTAAGTCATTGAACAATAATGTTTTAATGCAAGATAAATTTGAAAGTGGTAAATTAGAAAAACAACTAGTCAATTCTGAATCAATGCTGAAAATGGCAACCTTAATCATTTTAGATAAGAAAATTAAAAGAATAACTTTAAATAAGATACTGATGTTGGAGTTACACAAGTTATTACTGAGATAAAAAAAAGACATTAAAAGTTTGTAAAATCCTAATGGCAAATGTAAAGGTCACATATCTAGTATGTAATAAGTCAAATGTGATTTAAGTATGCAGTAGGACAAATTATACTTTTTGGATATAGTTGTTTTATTAGGCTTGTCACACCAAATTTTATAAATGAGTTTAACACCTTTTACCTTATCTGAGTCATTAACATACATTAAAATACTAGAAAGATTAATGGCATTGGACAATAGTTGTAACCTTGATGATTTGATTTTATATACAAATTTGTAAAGTATGTAGTTGCCATAAATTAGCGTGCTAAAAAAAAGTTTAAAACTTAAGCAAAAAATTACAAAATAGGCTTAATCAATTACATACAGAAGTCATAGAAATTTATTAGTGAAGTTCAATTTTTTTTCACAAGTTAATGCTAAAGTTAATACTTACTGGAATTGATTATCTAGTAAACATTATCAGCAAAAACTGCAATTTCTTTAAAAGTTTGATCAGAAAAAAACTTGTTTGATGCTGTTTTTTTTTTAGTTACTGTTGTAACTGGTGTTAATTACTGTTAATTACTGTTGTAACTGGTGTTAATTACCAGTTGCAACAGTAATTAACTGGTGTTAAATACTGTTGTAATTAACTGGTGTTAATTACCAGTTACATAGTAATTAACTGGTGTTAATTACTGTTACAATTAACTGGTGTCAATTACTGTTGTAACTGGTATTACCTATATATTTGTTTAGCAGGCTAGATCCAGGCCTCCTCCAAAGTTTAATAAATTATAAGGTATTGTTTTTTTTTATATTTTGGTTTATTTTATTTTATTGGATATAACTTTTATGCATCATTATTTAATTATCTTTGCTATAAAAACTTAAGTCATTAGATTTAGCTAAAGAATTCTAATTATATAAACTTTCAAATTAAAGTTATGATATAGAAATGTGTGTTGCAGGGTTTGTAGGTTTAAACCAAATAGTTTAAGCCAATCAAAAAAAATATCAATTTGAACCAAACTAATTTATTTTGAAAATATTAAAACCATTTGGAGTTACTCAAGATAAGTTGCAAAGAGATCAAACAAAAATAGGGGACACAATTTTTTCTATAAGAAAGAAAGTTGTGTCTTTAATGCGTAGTCTTAACTAATTACTAAGCACATTGATAACTTGGGAATCTCTATCAAGACATCCACACAAATTACTAACCGTGTTTTCATATTTTTAGAAATTTTCAAAAGCTTTTTAAAAAACTCTCTCCCTTTCCTTTGCTATAGAATATATATCTGTGTATGTTAGCATATAATATTTATAGGCCTTTAAATATGTTTTACTTCTAGAAAATAAAAAAATTAAAAATTAAGTGTGTAAACGAAAGGATTTGAAGAACTTCAGCCATTTTTGACATGCTATAATATCATCTTTTAACACTATTTAATAATTTATAACTCTATTTAAAAAAAAATAGAGGAGAGGGAACTGAGAGAGAGCTTTTGTCTTAAATTTAAGCCCATATTTTATGAGCATTATAAGAAGTGGGCTCTCTAATTTTTTTTGCAATATGCTGAAAAAGCATTGTAAGATATATCTAAAATGAAAAAAAAAAAAAAAAAAAAATTATAACATGATAAAAAAAGGAAAATAATATTAACACTACAATCCAATTTACTTGTTGCTGATGTTTTTTCTAGAGAATTGTTAAAACTAGAGAAAAAATGTAAGAAAAGACATTTATTGCAAAGACAATTTGATATTACACATAATAACAAAAAATATAAAAGATAAAATAAAATTATCCTTACCTTCATTGTGAAAAACTAATTTCTTTTTCAACTATAACTAATGATCAACATAGTAAATTTTAAACAGGTAAAGTTTATTAAGTTAAAACCATATTTTAACAGTAGACAAAGTAACATTAATAAAAAACATATCCAGTGAAAAAGTTCTTTCACAAAGGAATGTCCAACTTACATAGAATTTTGGCCTATATCCACGCCAAGCCAATTGTGTTTAGATTTTTACACCAACAGATTGTTAGAGTCTTAGAGATTATTTATAAAAAAATCGATCAGCTTGGCGACTGATCAGCTTGGTGTCATGCATATATTTATATATAAATATATATTTATGTATAAATACATAAAAAATTTTCCTAAAGTTCAAATTTATTTTTAAATTGTAAAGTGTAGTTTTATATTGTTTTCTAACATCCTTGGACCTAAATATGTGTTTTAAGAAAAAAAAAAAAAAAAAAAAAAAAGGGTCAAAAATATCACTGAATTAGGGGGTGAATCTAATAAGTACTTACAATAAAGGAGTATGTCCAATGTAAGTTGAACAATTCCTTTATTGTAAGTAGTTATTAGATACACCCCCTAATTCAGCGATTATTGTTGATTATTTTAAAAATTATTAAATGCAATTTAAAGTGTTCACAAAATCTAACTGACTATAAACTTAATATTCTTACATAGACAATCATAAACACCGTCACAACAGCAAATTATTTTAATATTTTGCATATTCTGCTGACTGAAATTTTGATGGTGTTTAGTGTAAAAACAGAATGAATACCTTTTTCAACAAAAATGTTTTAAATGTAGTTAAGTATTTTCCCCTTCTTACTTTAACTCCTCTCTTAGTGTATAGTAATTTAAAAATAATAGTTTTATGGTAGACTAACTGTAAATCTAACTTAAAATTATTTAAAATCAATAAAAAATAGCTTACTTATATTTAAAACAAGGTCGTCTTTAGCTTCTATAAAATTAACAGCCTGTCAAGAATCAATGCATCAACTACAAAACAGTATTTGTTTCATTAAGTAAAACATTAAAAAATTAAACTTTAGTAACTTTAAAGACAGATTAAAAAATTAAAAATTACATACTGTTTATAAATAGAAGTCTATTCAATAATTATATCACTTATGATAATGATAATAGAATATTCAAAAATAGTCGTATTTATCAAGAATAAAGGTTATACTTTTAAAAACAATATCTGCGTTACCGTCAGGTAGATCTAGTTCTTGTAACTTATCTTCTCTTTGTTAAACCTTCAACACTTAAATTTTATAGTCTTCTTAAATAATACCTTTACCATCAAAGTGCAGTGACAGCTTTCTAACTGTAGTTTTTTTTTTAAATTTCTTTTGTAATTTAAAATTTTTCTTTTGTTATTGATCTGTATATGACAGACTGTGAAGGTGTCTGAATGTTGATCCCATCTTGAGATAACTGTCGACAAATGGTTGTTGCTTTTATGGTTGATAACTTTGAAGATTTTATTAATTTTGTGCTTCTGTATTATTTGACTGCTATAAGGCAAATACAGATTTATATTTAATTATTAGCATTAATCAACCGGGAAGCTTATTTAGTTTTAATCTTGCTAATTTCTATAAATTGCCAGACTAAAATTTCTAGAAAATTCTAGAAATTTTCACAGGTTTCTATAAACATCCGCAATACTCCAGATTCAGAATTCTAGGCTTTAAAAAATCGAGGAATGAAACTATTTGATTAAGAATTTTTGGAACAGTTTGAGTAAAAAGACTTAATTGAATAACGAAGATAGCATAGGAGACGCTAGATCTTTAGAGTAGTGTCCATTATAGTGTTTATAGAAAAGAGAAAGAGAAGCAACATTATGACAATGTAACAATGGTTGGAGGTTGGCTACAGGAGCAGATCCAACTATGTTTACAATGCGTTTTTTACAACTTGTCTAAAAGAGACAGAGCATCATTGGAAGACCCATCCTAGATATGGCAACAGTTTTCCATACGTGGATGGATTTGTGATTTGAGATGCTCATTTAGATATATATAAGTTTCCAGAAATTATCAAGTAATAATTATTAATAGAAGATGAAGGGTAAATGACTCATTAAGTACATTACTGTTCATAAATACAGGATGATCTAGATTATTAAAATAAAAATTAGCAGAGATGAGAAGTGAAAATTGAGTTTTATCTGAGTTCACCAGCCACTAAGAGCTCCATGCTGTAGAAGTAAGATCCTTTTCAAGCTCAAATGCTCGCTCCAAGCAATATATGTATTTTTTAATATATGTATCTTTTCTTTAATTTAAAAGTTTGTAACTTTTATGATAAGTGCAGTTCTTAACCTCTGCTTCTATTCATAAAAACAATTTTTATGAATGAATGGCTGCAGAGGTTAGCAGGGACAGAACCAATATTAAAAAAAAAACACTCTCTAAAATTATCAATTGTATTGTGTAGCCGCCTCCTTTTTATAAACTATTTTTACTTCTTTAGTTTAACCATAAAAGTTTACTTTTAATTAACCTGATCAAGCTATAAGTTGTTTTTTTACAAAATAAAAAAATAATAATTTAATTTTCATAGAATGTAATATACCGCTTTTATATTAATTTATAATATATACTTTATTATAATAAACCAATAGACATAAAAAAAGTGAGTTATAAATTTTTTTAATGTATTCTTAGCTTTAGGAGTAGATAATGATCATTACAGATCTCTGATTCAGTGTTCTGCCAGATATTGATAAAATGTTTTTAACATTTTAAAAACATTGCTTAAAGAAAAGAAGATTTTATTATTTTCATTGCAACTAAATGATTGTTTTTTACTTTTGCTTACTTTAATATAAAAATTTTTTTTAAATATATTTGTACTTTTTTGTTTATTCAACTAGATTTTGTTTTATTAGAATCTTGTTGAAATAAAACATAAATCCAATAAATTATAAATATTTCTTTGATAAATTAAATAAAATTTACTTTCTTTTTCATTAAAAGTGGGTTGTTATTTTATTTTTTAAGGAGTGTTTTTTAAATTTAATATTACATTATTAAAGGTTTGAATTAATTTAATCGTTAACGAAATTGATTATAATTTACTAGTTCAGTTTTTAGTTTTTTTTACCTTGGATTATTTAATTTTTATTGTTTAATTTTTTTTTATGATTTTTATTTCATTTCTATATTAAAGTTTTTTTGTTTGTAATTGTCTTTTTTCTTTCAAGGTTTTTATGTTTGTCATGTTTTTATTTTGGTTTTTTAAAATGTTTTCCATGATCAAGTTGTTGACAAAAAAAAATACATTTTTTTTTTTTTTTTTTTTTTTTTTAACATCTTCACTTCCAACAAGGCTGCAAGCAACCACTATAAGAGTTGGAAGTTACTGGAAGAGAAAAGACTAAAACTGTAGAGCAAGATAACGATTGACTGATGACTTAAAAGATTGCAAATTATATGAATCAGGAAAGCAAGATGAAGGAAGCGAATTCCAAAGAACTGATGTTCGAGGAAATAAACTAGAAGAATAAGAGTTTTTGAAGCACTTAGGAACAGTCACAGAAAAAGGATGAGACTTAATTGAATGGCGAGTAACACGAGAATGAATTTTAGTAGATGGCACAAGGGACGCTAGCTCTTTAGAGCAGTGCCCATTATAGTATTTGTAGAAAAGAGAAAGAGAAGCAACATTACGACGATGTGACAAAGGTTGGAGATTGGCTGCCAGAGCAGGTCCAACTATGTTTACAATTCGTTTTTGCACCTTGTCTAAAAGAGAAAGAGCATCATTAGAAGATCCGCCCCAGATGTGGCAACAGTATTCCATACAGGGACGGATTTGAGATTTATAGAGATAGAGAATAGAATCTGGAGTAAGAAAGTGTCGAGCTCGATAAAGAGATGCAACCTTAGCAGATTCTAATTTTGCAATGGATTTGATATACGGTTTAAAAGAAAGATCAGAAGTAAGAGTTAATCCATTACATTACATTTGTGGTCAGGCCAATTTCTGACCAAGCCTAATATTACTGCTATGATAGTCATCAAATAAAATTAACACTATTAACTAGTATTAAACTTTTTTTACCACGACTCTTAAATAAAGAGAGGAGGTGGGCTCCTCTTACTGAAGCAAAAAGTTAAATGTCATAAAACTATATACATCATAAAATGACTTAAAATTTCATTATTGTTAAGGCAATTTTTTCTCATAAGTTTTTACAATTATTTCCCTTTTGTTATCATATGAGTAATGAGAAATGCAATTTCCTTTTTTTTGTTTTCATCCAGTTATTATTTTATTTAAACTATAGTTATAAAAATGTTGTTTTCTTTTTTAACTTAGGAAAAGTTTTAAGTTTTAAAAGCTATATTAATGAAATTGTTGTATGTGGAATTGTCAGAATAACAACAAGACATAAAGATATTAAGTTATAAAAATAGATATATAAAATATTTTTATTTGCAATGTATTTTTTTGTAACTTTTTAGATTTATCTCTATTTATTAAATGTCAATTATTGCTTATTTAAAAAAAAACATATTTACTTTAGTTTTATGTCGTTGCTTCAAAAATCTGCTAAACTGGAAAGTTTTCTATGAGTTATGAACAAACCAATGTTCAACTTGGTGAGTGTGTTTTACATTTCATTTTACATTTTAACTATTAATTAAACAAGCCTGGTAGAGTTCATTTACATGAACTGCAATTTAAATTAATTTCTTGTCCTGTTCAAAATGTTTATTAATTTACATGTAAAAACAATCAAACACTAAACCTGCAATTTTTCCAAAACCTTCAACATATCTAACTTTTTTCTCTATAATATGCATTGTTTCAATGCTATTGATATGAGTGGTTAAATTTCATCCCCTAATCTAATAGGAGCAAGATGTTTAGTAGAAACTGTAGTTTCTTGACCATTAGGGAACCTATTGAGAATTAGCTTCTATAACCTTTGGAGCACATTTTTCTACATAAATACCTGTCCTGGGTTTATTAGCCATAAAGAATTTGAAGAACCTGATTTTTATTGAATGCTGAAATGGTGTTTGTATGGACTACAAATAGATCAGCTAAACAGTTAATCACTCTCTGAGTTGTCATATTGCACAGAAAAGGCAAAAGGAAACACAGCAACTTATCTGAAACAGTTAACATAATTTATTCAAAAGTTAAAGAAAGTAATGGCCCTTTTAATTCTATAGTTCAAAAGTTAGTAAAAATCAGTTATTTTTTATATTAAAAAACACCAACATCTGCAATTAATTCTGCAATTGATCTGCTTTGAGACCTTTCATAAGCAATTGTAAAAAATTTTTACTATTTCTCATAGACAGTATTTAACGAATCAAAACATCTTCTTTGAATTTTCCTAATCTCTCTTAAAAACTTTCAGTGACAAATGTCTCCAAAAGTTTTCAATTGTTTTTGCTTGAGGCATATTAGATTTAAGTTTAGATTCTTTACTACGTTATCTACATTAGCATTTTTTTTGTAAATTTATCTTTTCCTGCATAGCAAACACATTCGTGACATGCATTTTTATTGTTTGTGTAATATGGAAACTGGATCGTGTTATAGAGCTGGTTATGAAATTTGCTGCTTATTTTTTGGTTTAATTGTTGTTCAATAGTGTATTTTGGAGTCTTTTCATGTTTTCTATATTAGTATTCTTTTTTTTTTACTGATAGCCAATTGGCAATTGACTTATACAGAAATTAAGACTTATTTTTCTCTTTTTCAATTTTTGAAAATTCTCCTTCATTTTGTTTTTTTTTCAAGGACAGGATTTTAGACAACCTTTTAATCAAAAATATAGTATTTTCTATCAAAAATATAATACTTTATATCAAAAATATAATACTTTGTATCAAAAATATAATACGTTATATCAAAAATATAAAACTTTATATCAAAAATATAATACTTTATATCAAAAATATAATACTTTATATCAAAAATATAATACTTTGTATCAAAAATATAATACTTTGTATCAAAAATATAATACTTTATATCAAAAATATAATACTTTGTATCAAAAATATAATACGTTATATCAAAAATATAAAACTTTATATCAAAAATATAATACTTGATATCAAAAATATAATACTTTATATCAAAAATATAATACTTTGTATCAAAAATATAATACTTTGTATCAAAAATATAATACTTTATATCAAAAATATAATACTTTGTATCAAAAATATAATGCTTTATATCAAAAATATAATACTTTATATCAAAAATATAATACTTTATATCAAAAATATAATACTTTATATCAAAAATATAATACTTTGTATCAAAAATATAATACTTTATATCAAAAATTTAATACTTTGTATCAAAAAAGCTGGAGCAGATTTAAGTCTTTTTAAGTTATCATATGTTTTACTTTGAGCAAACTCTTTTTTTTCGAAATGATTTACAGTTTTCCTTTTTTTTAATTTGATTTATTAACAAAAAATATTTTGAGTTGCTTGTTAAAAGATTTTTGTTCAGCTGCATTTAATCTTAAACATATTTGCCTACACATAAAACCACAAATAAGTAATATGAATGATGAATTAAGTTTAGATTTGTCTAATAAATTCCTAATAGAATTATGTTTAGATTTGTCTAATAAATCACCCATTATTCTACAATGATGCTCACCGAACTCAAGGAAATGTATCTGGAACACTTTTACATTGCCCTGGCAATTGCAGAACATCAGTTTCTACAAAAAATGAATATTCACATCAATAGATTGTATTAAAGATTGAACGAGCTCATAAGGACAAATATCATCGTGAACAAGCTCATGATTATATTTATTGGTAATTGAGTGAACATTAAGTAACACAATTTAGAATTTAAATTCTTAGCCTACTTAAATATCATGGCTTGATTTGTTACTTTTTTCCGTAAAAAATAAAAAGGCTAAATTTTTTATGCTTTAGAAGTTTTTTGTTATGATTATTGTTAGCACTATAAATGATTTTATTAAAATGGTTATAATATAAATTTTGTTTATTCCAATAACACAGAATATTGGTATAAAGCTATATATCAACATGCTACTAAAAGTAACCTTAAATGTTGCTATGACTGTCTAAAGGTCAACAAATAAAATCAGACAGACTTTGATTTGAATATTTAGGTTCTCTTTTGTAAAAAAGTTTCAGGTATTCATTATTAGCAGTATTGTTTTTCGATTACAAGTTTAATATCCAAATCCTTTTTTTACTTTTTTACTAATGCAACTTGCTATATTGCCAGCAATTTTTATGCTACCTTCAGATAACAAAACAATATCGTGCATAATATTCTAAAATAAAAATTATCAAGTATCTGATTGAATATTTTCTTACAAAATCTATTATTAATCTATTATTATCAAAAAATCTATTATTATCAAAATCTACCACCGCTTAGTTATCTATATTTACTAAAACGTAGCTCTAAAAGATCACTTTTTAAACTAGAAGTATGAACAAATGTATAGTCTTCTTCAAGCAAAATTTGCTATTTCTATAAAGTATACTTTTATGTAAAGTGTTATCTCTAAAGTATTTGAGCCTTCTTATTATCTTTTACAGCAGTTTTGCTGAGTTGATTAGATATACTGAGTTTATGCTTTGACTTAAGTGTGATAAATATCTTATAAAACAAATATGCAAATTGTGCTGCATTATTTTTTTAAGGAAAAAAATTTCTATAATAAACCTATAACATTGCAGCTGCAGTTATTTTATCACATATTGCAAATTTAACAACATTTTTGTTTTTGAAATAAGGTACCTGATAATTGATTTTTTTTTAGTTCCTGTTTAGTTATTGATCTTTTTCAGAAAATTTATAAAATAAATTCTCTGGAATTTAACCAGCATTAACTTCAACATTTTTTTGCATTCAACAAGTTGTACTATTAGATTTTTTCAAAATGGAGTATATGAAATAATAAGTATGATTTTAATACTCCTTTATAAACTGTATGATGAGTTTATACAGTATATGCTTTATAGAGCTATGGAAATATTGCTAGAATAATTATTAGTAACAAAGCTCTTGTTTTAAATTTAGATCAGCGCAATGAGGTATTACACTTATAAATTTCCTTTTTCAAACATAACCTGTTATAAAAACTTTAGATAAGAATTTTACAACGTAAGAAATATATTTTTGAAGCCTTATAAACTTGAAAACCTAAAACAATTTTATTGTAAAGATTAATTTCTTAATCTTCACCAAATTATTTACCACTTTAATATTGGGCTGCTTTTCACAAACTTTTCTTAAAAAATTACAAAATTTATTACCAGCTATTGACTCAAAAACACACCCTGTTGCATTTTAATTGCAATAAAATTATTTTTCGTTATTCATGAGAAAAACAGTTAAGGTTAGAAATCTTAATTTCTCCATGCTGTGATTAAATAAATATAAATGATAAACTGACATATTTGTTATGCATATATTGTTTTAGTAGTATTTTAATGATAATAATAACAAAATTGAATAGAAACCATTAACATTAGATTATTTAAAAATATAACACTTCTAGATTTCTTTCAATTTTCTAATGACATGAAAAATTTAATATATAAAAAAACAGATAAAGTTATTTTCTGGCCAGATATCGGATATCAAATAATACTTCTATCCTGGTCTTAACTAGTAGTTAAGATTTAAATGTAAGCCTCTAAGAAAACTTGTCTATCAGATTTTTATGGAAAATGAAACAAATCAGGCAGTGTAGTTAGGCCATGGTTGATTTTTATTTAAATATTTTTTGATCCATTTTACGAAAAATGAAAAAATTCCAATAATTTGTTGCAAAGGCTTAACATTATCAGGTGGAGGTAGAGGTTGCTGAGGATCAGGTTTCGATCAGACATGATATACAGTAAGTCAAAAAACTAATGTGACAGTTGAAAGTATATACTTTTCCTGATTAAATTTATTCTAAATTTATGCAAGTTTTCATCATGCTCTTTACTATCACATAGAGTAATGTAATCAATAAATTGAATGCAGTTAGTTCTATGTTGTCTATATAAAATTAAAAGCATGCGTTAATAATTATGCATTAATAATTAACAAAGTATCCGTTGTTGATTTTAAAAGGCATTCTAGAGGATTGCCAAAGTTTAATTAATTAGTTTAGCAACTTCTAAAGCATGTCAAATAGTTAGATCAACAAAAACCGTTACCAAAAACTAATTAACTAATTTTTCCTACAAAAGGAATATCTACTAATAAGTTAAACTAAATTTAAGATGTCCTTCTGAGGCCAAATATTTTCAAATGATTATATTAGTTTTTATTTTCAACCAATTTATGATGATTTTAAGTTTCAATTGATTTACTTTTCGACCAATTTTATAGATTTTATTTTCAACGGATTTGGGATAAATTTATTTTTTACCGATTGTAGTCAATATTCAGTTCAACCTACAAGTTTATGTTTTTAATGCTTTTTTTTGAGCTTTAAACGTTTTTTTGTAAAAAGACATTAACAGCAAATCAATAGAAATGTTTGAAGTCATACTGAAATAGCCTGCTGCTGTAAGCTACTGTACATACATCAATTATTTGTAATTTTCTCGCTCGAATTAAAACTTCTTTTTTATTC